GAAGAGAAACAAGAAGCCGCCCATCAGCGACGACGTCCTCAAGCTGCGATGCCTGCGAACGCTGCTGGGTACGTCACGCCCCCTCAGAGCCATCTGCCACCCATTTACCACCACCACCACCCACGGCTCACCCCGGGCCACTCCAGTGCAAAAGGGGTACACCAAGCTGCGCTCCTCGGTGGCCTACACCCAGGACATCGTCACCATAGAGCGATTCGGAGAGATCCTGGACTGGTTCGGACCCATCGTCTATCGGCGGCGCGGTTCGCCCTCCTGCTTCATCCTCGACGAGGTTCGTACCATCACGCGTGGACCCAGTCCCGCTCCCTCAAACAAAACGTTCGTCTCAGTACTGAGACCGTGTCCCCCCCCCCGCTCGAGCAGATGAAGAGCCTGCTGGAGAAGCAGTGGTTCTTCGGTGACGTCAGCGCCCAGGAGGCACAGAGCCTTCTCGGCAAGGGTAGCCCCCCCCCCGGGGCCCCCATTGCAACGTGGCGCAGATCTGACAGCGATTGGCTCACTCGCTGTTGACTGGCGGCGACTGTGTAACAGAGCGTGGGTGTTTTTTGGTGCGATTCACGTCGAACCCGAAGTACCCGGGCTGTTTCACCGTGTCGCGGATCTCGGCCTCGGGGCAGCCTTCCCACATACGGATCATCAAGAAGGACAACCGGGTCTCCGTCGCCGATGACAAGTACTACCCCCCCCCCCCATAGGCCCCATCCCCGCCGCCTCTGTGAGAGGCTTGTGTGGTTGCGAAACGTTGTTGACACCTTCGTCTTCGGTGGTGGTACCAGGGATTTTGAATCGCTCACTCAACTCGTGGAGCAACTTGGCCCCGTGCTTCGCCTCGAAAAGCCCTGTCCCAAGGTCAGTGCCCCTTCCCCCCCCCCTCTTCTTTGCTTCGCGTACGTTCAACCAACAACGCCACGACGTTTCCTCCCCTTTTACCCTTCGTACCAGCCATCCAAGTACTGGGTGATATTCAAGAGCGGCCAGGAGGAAGAGGACGACGCGAGCGACACCTCATCCCTGGTACTGTCTTCTCCCCCTTCATCACCCAGTGATGGCTCATGAGTGCGGATGGGAAAACGATTCCTTATCCGTCCGCCACAACGCAGGACTCCCTGAGCGACGACTCGGAGGAGGAAGAGGCTCGAGCCACTGAGCCCATAGTGGAGCACGGGCGGACCAAGACCCCGCATGTACATCAACAACCTTGAGCTGCCTCCCCTTTTCGCTGTCGCCTTTCTTTATTTTTTTTTTATCTCTTTCCTTCGTTTTTGTACTTTATCATCAGAGCACTCGAAAATCGGTTTTCTTTCATTGCCTTCATTGCAGCTTACATCATCTTTTCATCACCCCGCACTAACCGCGTCCACTCCCAATCAGGCGTGACGACCACCCTCTTCTCCACGCGCGCCTCGCCCTCGTCCTCTTGTATATCCATCCAATCCAATCCAGCCCTATCTATTTATCCATCCACGCCACCACACGCCATTTCGATCGAACTTTATCGCTGCTCGGTCTCACTGCACCTGATCTCGGATGTTCTTGATGAGGGTCAGGAACGCCTCGTCGACACGGATCACCGATTTCTGCCGAACGAGACGAACGAACATACGTGGCCGACGCGAGGACCAGGCCGATGGTGAGCGCGGGGCGCAACGAAAAAAGAAAGAAGGCTTGGGGCGGAGGAAAGCGTACGGCGGAGGTCTCGACGAAGGGCATCTGTAACGAACTGGCGAGCTCCTGGCCCTTCGTCCGTTGGGGATGGCCCGNTGGGACTCCAAATCGCACTTGTGCCTGTGGTGTGTGTGGCCGTGTGCGTGTCGTGCGCAC